TTTTTTTTTTTTTTTTCTTTTTCTTTTTAGCTGGAAACATAGGACAATAAGGATTTGCTGTTAAGTCAATAGTATGTTGAGCATGCCTATAGAATATCCCTAAGATTTACCAATTCATTTTATTGATGCCTCTTGACAAGATATTTAATCTCTACTTTGTAGGTTTGCAGGTATCTTCTCATTGAGGATGAGTTCAATCACCCATCCCTTCCTGAGCTGCAGAAGTATTTAACCGATGAAGATTACAGGTGCACCATAAACTTAATTTTCAAGTTTCCAAATGTCTGAAAAAGGGCACAAATTTATAGAGTTTATTGATCTATTACAGATGAATTGTTGTTTAATGCAAAAATGAAAGTTTCTTTCGTGCCACATGTTTAAGCCAAGCAATTTGCCTATGTTTGGAGTAACATTTTTTTTTTTTTTTTTTTTGTGTATTGTTTATTAAATGAAAGAGATGTTTCATTTCAAATGAAAAATAAAAATAAAAAAAAAAAGAAGAAGAAGAAGAAGAAAGATGAAAAAAGATGTACATATTCAAAATCTGAAGTGAAGTTGATTAATTAAAACAGTCTTCTCTCTAGAAGAAACATTCAGCTGTCTGCAAAATTATTGTAGGTAGTGATACATCATGCATATTGTTTCAGGCCAAAAATATACTAAGGGCTTTAGCACCTTGAAACTTAACTTCCATGACTATTCCAAGTTCAAAATGAAAGTACCTGTTTTCTCTTTTACGCCTTTAGGAGGAAGAAAATATTTGTCTTGCTCACAACCTATTATTTTGTCCCTGTTCTTTGTTGGCAGTATTGCTTTGGGGTTCTATATTCTGTTAAGAGCTGTTGATTGGTATGCTGCCAATTTCAACAGTTTTCCTGGGCAGTTTGAAGGGTAATAATTCTTAAAATTACTATTCATTTGGAGTTCTTGATAGCCTTAGCTTTGGTTGTTAACTCACTGGTGGTCCACAGGGGAATGGATGAGGATATATCTCGTTTGAAAACTACGGTTATTAGCCTACTAAATGATTTGGGTTGCAATGGCTTAACGTTGACAGAGGACCTTATCAATGAGATATGCCGATTTGGTGTGGCAGAGCTCCATTCTGTTGCTGCCTTCATTGGAGGAATTGCGTCACAGGAAGTGATTAAGGTTTTTCCCTTCTAGTCTTATTCCAAGCTATTTTTTTCAGGTCGTCTTTCTGTTCAATATATGCTGGAAAGGTATATAAAATCACTGATACAAGCGTGTTCCCCAATATTTGTCTTGTCTGCAGCTTATAACTAAACAGTTTGTTCCCATGTGTGGGACTTACATATTCAATGGTATCGATCACAAGTCTCAATTGTTGGCACTTTAAGTAGAAACAGCAATCCCTTTGAAGTGGCTGGTAAGTGTTTTCAACCTGACTTGATGCATCACATTGTTACCACATCCTTGCACTCATGTATACCTCCTGACATGGTATCCATCGAGACAATTTATACCATTACCATGTAGTTAAATTCACACTATTTATCTACTGAAGCTGTCTTAATCTATGCTTTTTAATTTTCATTGGCAGATTGCCTCTTTCATGAGATAAATGGTCAAATCTTGTGCGGCAATGAAGATATTAGATATGAGCTTTTCTTTTTCATCTTTGTGAGGCATAGCTATGTACTTTAATCAATGACAATGTAGTTTACACGATTTGGTTGATTTATAATTGTGAAGGCAGAAAGAAGATGAAAGAAGGTTAAATGCCCATTTTGGTTTATCTACTCTAGGGATTTGCATAGTTTTCATTCTTCAATTCTTTTATGCACTTTTTTTTGTCCCTCAATTATAAAAAATATACTTTTTAGTCTTTCAATCAATTAGTACATCAAATCTGTGTATATATATACATTCTAAAGTTGAGGGAATTAATGTGGTATTTTATATTATTTTTAGTCTCTGTTCTTTTGGGTTAATTCAATAAATTAAGAAATTTTGTGTTCTCTCTCGCATGCTTATTACAATTATATTGTAGTCCTCCTTTTATTGAAGACATGGAATTAATATGATATTTTATTAAAAAAATACCCGAATTAATAAGATTCACTTGTTTTTCCTTTTTTCTTGTTTTTTTCTTTTTTTTTTTTTTTTCTGTATTTCAAGTCCTTGGGTCAATTCTTGTGCATGTTGAGATTAATCTCTTTTTCACATCAGTTTGGTGTATTTAAAAAATTAACTAGAATTAAAATTTGAATCTTAAACTTACTCTACAAAACACAATGTGGATTCAACCATCAAGATATTGTTTTCATTATTCTAGTTATATGTTTCATGGGCCAAAACATTTAATAAAAATATATGGTGTTAATGTTACCATAATGAAATCCATGTCTTATGTTTTAATTCCTTACAAATCTAAGATCCTAAATTATCATAATCTTCATATTCTTTCACTAATAAATTTTGAATAACAACCTTTATGGTCTTTAACAACCAAATAAATTTCAATTATAAACCTTACTTTGTGTATATATATATATATACACACACATACTCTTAAACAAAGCCTTCATTTGCTGTTCACCTTTATTTTCCTTTGCATTGCCCATCATGAATCCTTTCCTTCTCTTGTGCGAGCTCCTGATTGCTTCCATGGTGTTGTGGATTTTCTCCATGTTGATCGCTGGAAGCCTTTTTCAAGGATGCATCCTTGTTTTTAACAGGCCACTGTGCGGTTTTATGGCCATGAACGTAATTATAGTCCTCATTTTTGCTTTTTCCCTCTTGGACCAGACCTTCCAATCCCAATGGAGCAATAACAATATTAAAAGAAGTGAGGAGATCAAGAAAATCAGAGAAT